AATAAACAAGAAATGTGTGAAAAGCAGAGAAGAATAAAAGATGGAGGAGAAGAAAGTATGAATGAAGAAAGAGAGACGAGCCACCAAGAGATGAAGGAGACAAATATGAAACATAGTCGGATTAAAACCATGAAGATAAATGACGGGAAAATCTCTTCTTTCCATCTGGATTCTACACACACACACACACACACACACACACACACCACACACACACTCAGAAACAAACACCACACACACACACTCAGAAACAAACACACACACACACACACACACACACACCACACACAAACAAAACACACACAACACACACACACACACTCAGAAAACACAACAACACATACTCAGAAAACAACACAACACACACACTGTTGTCACGTCCTTCGCAGGGTCGATGCCCAGACTGTGAATTTGATGAGGATGAGGATGAAGATGATGACGAGGATAAAATAGACGCGGCGGGCGTGTGAGAAGTTAATCGTCTGTCTAAGATGTCGGTGGGGTGTTGATGGCGTTATGATTATTACTCTTCGTGTATGAGGACAGCGGAGTGAGACGGTCACTCCTCAATCAGCTCACGAAGACGTTTCAGGGGGAACGTGAATCATTTCAATGACAGATTACAGCAGTTAATTAAAGGTACATTTGTTATGAAGCAGTAAAAATATCAAATGATCCGTCTATGGCGGGATGCCCCAGTGCATTCTGGGAGGCTCTCAGCACCCTGCGTCCTATTAATGCTAACAAAAAGAGAAGAGGTGACTTTCAGAGTCAGAGCGCGGCGGCGGTCTAGAGAGGCACGTGGATCTGGATTAGTTGGGAGCAGAACCGGACCGCGGAGCCGGGAACCTACCGTGTCGGAAAGCTAACACTGAACCCCCTCTTCTGCACGCTGAAGTCGGAGGTGAAGGACAGCTCCATCACGTCCCCCGTGGAGTTGAGCGTCAGCCCGCTGGCCGTCGGCCCGCAGAACCTGACGTCGGCGTTTCCCGCGTGGACCAGAACCCGGTCGTAGATGCAGCCCGGCGCCTCCTCCAGGTCGAAGTCAAGGAAGGAGAGCTGGACGATGAAGCCGGCGGGGGCCTGCATGGTCCACTTGCAGGCCTGCAAATTGGGGTATTTCTGTGGGTAGCAGGGCGACGTGAACTCCCCCTGGGCCTCCGTCAGCTCCACGTTACAGCTGCTGGAGCTGCAGCCCAGCGCTGGAGGCGGGCGACACAGTTCGTGAACTTTCACAAACGGACAACCTCCACGAGGACGCAACGGTAGGGTGACATCACTCAGAAGACAACGTGCTAGTAGACGAGGGGACAGGACACAAGACGAGAGGAGGACAGGACCCATAAAAGGGGGGTGGAGACCAGACCGGAGACGTGGGGGACAAACATGGTCGAGTCGGCCGGGAAGTGCATCATGGTGGATTAGACTCAAGGACAAAGAGGACGGAGACAGACGTTTTCATAAGGAAGCTTGAAAGGACCTTTAGGGTTCAGAGACGAGAGGACACAGGAGGAGCAGATAAGGAACCGGGACTCCAGAATCAGGAGGGAAGAGGATTCAGCAGCCAGAGGGATCAATGGATCACTAGATCCACCAATCAATCAATCGATCGTTTGGGCCGATCGGTGAATCCACACACATAGAGAGCGTGCACATGCAGAATGACGTTGCCATGGAGATTTGGAATCAGAAGGACTTCAGCAGCATCCAGTAAGTCACTGTTTGCACGCAGCTCTTTATAAATAGACCATAAAGTGATGAGTCACACAAAAATAACGGTTACCCTGACAACTCATTACGTTTCTTTATTGTTTCAGAGGGTTCCACCTGTTGGTGAAACGTAAAGTCTGAAACACCAACAGTTTCTTCCTGAAGGTTCCCACGAGCAGACGATGAATCTTTCTGCAGAATCTGACATCAGCCTCCTTTTTTTCACCGAGAAGAAAAGGTTGAAACGCGCACTCACGCACGCACACGCGTGACGTTTCCAGTACGTAGGCTGTGGTTTGGGTTGTGGAAGCGGCCGAGTCCGAGATGAACGGAGGCCATTGTTTCCCAGAGAGAGACCACTCTCTCCCCCCTCCGTCTCAGCCCTTCTTTCCTATTATGTTTCATCCTTCCGGCTCTTTACGTTTGACTAAAAACTTCATGAACTAATCTGCTTAGTTTTTCTGACATCTAAGAAGTCTGTGAGTGATTTATTCCCTCAGTGAACATTGTAAACATGCGTTTATGGTCTCAATAGAACAGAAGGAAGACTCCCTTTGTTAATGAGATAAAGCTCATAAATATGCATCTTTAATTCTGGTTTATTGTGTTCTATCTTCTCCCGTATTCATACATTCATTGGTGGAACGTGCAGACAAGAAGCTGCTGGATTGATTTGAGTTTCAACATGTGTTTCTGCTGAGTGGGAGACCACAAAGACTTCTGTATGCTGCTGGATAAAGCATGCACAGTGTACACTGAGGGGGGGGCAGATGTGTGTGTGTGTGTGTGTGTGTGTGTGTGTGTGTGTGTATTGGAAACCACACAATTCAAAACACACAATTCCTTTAAAAACCTCCTCTCAAGTTTCTCATTAATCCTCTGGTCTGCAGGAGGCTCTGGAAGCT